TTTATTTATATCATTTCATATACATAATTTGATTTAATAATAACCTAATTTTTAGCAAAACAGAATGTTCTGACTAGCTTTGTGAAATTATACTACATGCCTGAACAAAACAAACAGCAGAAGCTCTGAATGAGACGCATATTCACTCTCTGACAGCGCTGCGCTGCAACACTACTTTAATGTGAATTATACAGAGACGAGATGAAAAGAAAATACCATCTAAACTTTTCTAAAGACAGTCAGTTCCCCTCAGAAACACATTCATATAAATCCCCAAATCAATATTGAGGATTTTCTTCCAATAGTTCGTGCATCATATACAGTGAGTGATCTGCCTGCTACAGTATTTTTCTGTGTGTCCGCCTTCAGTGTCTCTGGCCTGTGTTAACGATTTTCAAATCGCGGTATACCTTGAAACCGGTAATCGGCCCATCCCTAGTATACAGTAAATAAGACCATGTTTAAATTCAATATCCTTGTAGCACAATGAAAAAAAATTTGTTCATTTTTAAAACTGCCATATTTGAGGAAACACCTTTATTTGTTTGAATCTTTTGCTACATGTTTATAATGTTGTAGTCAATGTTAGTGTCCTACATAATGCCCCTGTTTCTTAAAACATGCTGTAGCTTAAAATAAATGCCATTCTTGTATTTATTAATAGAAGATGGTGGTTGGGGTAAAGGAAACATGAATGATTAGGATAGGCAAAGTTGTGTTGGCAGTTACAGCAGTTTCCTTTGAGAGCTCTGCGATTTGATGGCTGTGCATGTGACTTGCGTGAGCTGTCAGGTAGCCATGAAACCTAAGTGGCAGTTTAGAGCAAAAGAATAGTGGGTCACAAGAAGGGGAAACTTGTTACACAACCCATTATGTGGCCATTTTTGTTGAAATATCTGGATTCGTGCCAAAACAAGGCATCTCACATAACGCCTTTTATGAGGTTAGAAACATTTTCAATGCTATTTGCTCTCATTCTGAAAAGAAACAGGACTTCCCTATTTTTATCCACAAGTTTGTCACGTGTAATATTTTTGTGGCCTTTTTGCCACTTCTAACCAAGATTTGTGAAAACCATAGCTTACTGGAGCACTTTTAAAACTAAGCCTTTTCCCAAAGCATAATTATGAAACCAAATTTCTGCATTTGTCCTCATTCCTCCACTTACTAAAAATGAGCCCATTTTTACCCATTTGTGCCCTGCTCTGCCACTTCATTCCCAAAGATTAAAGGGTGGAGGGGGAGAAAGCCGAGCTGGCAGACCCCTGAAGGAGAAGGACTGTCCACCACCTGTAACAAAGAGGAGGAGGACTGCAGACTGAGCAGAAGCTTAAAAACTTTGAACATAGTGGTATGTGGCAAGTAACGGCATGGTTCCAAGCACGATGTTATGCCCAAATATCTAACCCTGTTCAAGGATTTACAGATGAGTGAAATGTCATAGTATTTATGCATGTGTAATAGACCATGTGTCAGTGCCCATTCCTTTAGGACACTTTCAACCACATCTATTGTTTTTGTTGTTCAAAACGGGTAGTAGCTGTCTTTATTCCATCATTCATCTTATATTCACAGGGATTTATTTTCTTGTCCTGTCATTTGTTTCAAAAAAATGTTGTCTAAACCTGTTTTTCTCCTATAGCAGAACAGATCCTATTTTATCCTTGAATATAGAAGCAGCTCTTCAGGGATGTTTTCCAGCTCCAGTCAACTATCAAAGGCTCTTGTCTGCTGTTTCATTGATCAGTTTTGCCAAGATCCTCTGTTCTCTAGTTTAAAGAGGAAAAAATGATGTCTAACCCTTAAACTCTGCTTTAGTTTGATGTCCATGTCAAAAGTAGAGTTCCTGAAAGCCCTCAGAGCTTGTGTCTGGCCCACAGATGGTTGGATGGATAGTGGATTCATGTATTTCTCTTCTTTTCACAGAGGTGCGAGCTGTGTCCCCACAAAGACGGAGCACTGAAACGAACAGATAATGGAGGTAAGACTGTCTGTTTTTATTTTGCACTTGCTGAGGAAAAACATCTCTAGCATTAGGCCTACTCTAAATGTCGTTGACGAGAATAGACTGCAGTCACTCATTTGCTAAATGTAGGCCTGTAGCGTAAATGATGTTAGACATGATGGCAGCCATTGGTAACACATATGGCGCTGTGCACGGTTTTGTAATGCTTTATATTTTGCTTTAATTTTTTGATGATTGAGTGTGTTTAATAGACCAATTATTTAATAAAATCTTTGAAGAAAAAAACATTTGTAGGGTTAAATTAGTATTACCTCCACAGTAAGTAAATTGTCATTGTTTTCAAATGGGGTAAGTCAGCCCAGTTTTTATTGTGAGGTGATAAAATGATGGAAGCTCTTGAGAAGAACATATGCTCTGATGAGGATGGCACCTTTCTATTTTTACGCCTCTAATGAAAGTCATAGTAAAAAAACAACAACAATGAAGTGAATTGATTTTCTCTTGTATGCAGTATTTCACTGCTATCCTCTGGCAGTTTTAATTATCACTGAAATGTTGCTGTCAAAAGGGTTTATTACCGTATCTCTTCGATAAGCTGTTAATTAGTAAAAAATATCTTCATATGTCTCACCTAAACGTAATTTAATTTGGATTTCAGGAAAATATTGCAATGAATAAATGCAGAGTTCAGATGTATTTTTTAATGTTTCTTTTTCTAAAATGCATCTAAACTCCTTTTGAACAAGCCAAAAGTTTTACGTAATTTTTGGCACATAATTTGTAGATTTTATCTGCTTTTTTTTTTTTTTTTTTAAGCAGTTGAGCAAAGGGGGTTAGGAAGTGTCCGTGTTTATCTCTCTCACCTTGTTTTTATGGGTGGGCGGTCTCAGCGGGGTCATTGTGGGGCTGAGAGGAGTCTCCTCTTCTTCATGCTCCGGGTTCACGGCAAGGGCAGCTCAGAGACTGTAAACATGGCATGGGACACAGCTGCGGGACCATGCCCCATCTTTAGGGGTGGTGAGCTGTTTAATGGCCATGAGGGAAACATCATTGCCCCAGGCTTACAGTTTAGCTGTTTCAGACCGTGTAATCTCCTTCTTTTTTTTTTTTTGGCCTGAATTTGAAAAGGCTTTTGAAATTATTCGTCATAAACATTCCATGATTTGCCATTATTTATGAGTAGGAGTGAAGATTTCTGAAACATAAATTGTAGGAAGTATTTGTTTGGACCACCAATGATCCCAGTAGTGAGATGTAGGTATTCGTGATTTGCTTTTAAGATATCTATACATTTCGGCCAACTGAGGAGTGAAACTCAGCAGCAGTGACCAGACCAGCACATGGAGAGGTTTTTACAGGTGTTGCTTCTGTTAAGTTATGCAAACACAAGAATAATCCCAAATGAAAACACTTGAGCAGGGAATATACCTGGCCTAACAACATGTGTTGAAACACATGTAAGGAAAATAAAAACTGAAAAACGCATCCTCCTTCACGTGGAGCCTTCAGACCAGTTTTTGCCTCCCTGGTATAACCTTTCAGGGTTTTTTTTTTTATTGTTGCTTTAGTCCAAAAGTTTACAGTTATTCTGTCTAACTAGAATTTGAAGAACAAGATTATTTGAGTACTTTATGCTCAGCTAAAGACATCTTTGGCAAATCATTCTCTTTTTACGTTTGCCACCCTTCTGTCTCTGAGGGGTTTAGAAGTTCTTTGGGGTGTGCTTGGGTTTTATTGCCTGGTTTTATAGGCTTCTGCTGGATTCTTGGAGGGACTTCAAAACAACAAAACCCACCTCCCTGTCCCTTTAGGCTGGGGTCAAAGACAGTTCATGGGTTCACCTTTAAGTTTAGGCCTGTTATTTTGCCCTTAAGCTGGATAAACAAAACTCATTTGTTCACTTCTTTTAGGTTCATTTCAACTTGATATCAGTAGCATCTGCTCACCTCTAACAAACATATTGCAGAATATGGTTATTAAATCTAAATCCTCACAGTTTGGGGGTTTTGTGGTTAAAAGACAGCTGATGTGGGAGATAAGGTTTAGTAGTAGCCTGAAATTATGATATAATATTTATGTATTGTGCTTATGATGACACCCTATGGTTCAACACTTGGTCTAGACGCTAGGCAGGAGAGAATATGCCTCTGCCTCTTCCAGTCCTGGGTGTTTCGTCTTTGCGGTCACACTCAGCCCACATGCTTTAATAAGTGTTTTTCACACTGTGGAGGAAGCCAGGCGTGCCCCATAGGCACGACTATGAGCAAACAAATGACCATGGTCTCGAATAAATTTGAAAACAGAAAGACAGAAAATGTGTTGAATATAAGAGCCTCCTATTTGGCATTATCCATCTTTTTAACATCTTGATTTTAATAGAAAATCATATTATTAAAAATAAGTAAGAACAACAACAAAAATAATTTAAATAATTTTATTAATAATTTAAAATATTACTTGATTTTTTTAAATTGAAAAACTACAAAGTTATATTTAAGTAATTTGTAAAAAAAAAAATAAAAAAAATAAAATAAAAATAAAAAATATATATAGACATGTTTTAAAAAAATGACAAAAACACAACATAATTACTAAAACTTTAACTAAAATTAAAATGAAAATAAAAATAAAAACTGATTCAATAGTATAAAATGGTATTCCTATGGTATTCTAAAATAACACAGCTTCATGCATGGGTGCCTTTTTTTTTTTTTTTTTTTTTTTTTTTTTTTTTTTTACATTTTATATACTGTTAAACCCAGTTCCATCTTTACAGCAGGTTTGCATAGAAATAAAAAAATAATTCAACCTTAGCCACTTCATTTAACATCTACTGATCATTTGTCATGTGTCTTGTTTAGGTTGGGCCCATGTGGTTTGTGCTCTTTACATCCCAGAAGTGGAGTTCGCCAACGTATCCACCATGGAGCCCATCGTGCTTCAGTCTGTCCCTCATGAACGTTATAATAAGGTAAGTTCTCTAACCACTGAAAGACACATGCTGATAGTCTGGATATCAATGGGAAAACAAAGGCTCAACATAAGAGCCTCATAAATCAGCACAGCAATGTAAACGGTATGCATGTAAGGAGTTTAAGTCTATACTGTGAATGTGTTTTCTTAAGGGACCAAGTGCTACATTTATCAATCTTAGATAAACATAGAATGTTGCTATTAATTCTGCACCAAAGCTGAATGAATGAAAACTGAGATCCATGTTATGGGAGTTTACACTCACGGTCCGAAATTAAAAGAACCAACCATATTTATTTGTCATTGGATATTCTTATTCATCAAATATCAGAGAATGTTTTTTTTTTTTTAAGTTGTCAGTTCCAAGCCTAAGAAAAAAAGTATTAAGTCATGAGTGAATATTAATTTGTTTATTAAATACTTGCAGGTATAGGTTTATAATACTACTGGTTGGAGTCCTGCTCATCACTGTAACTCAAGACTAATTGCAAAGTCCAAATGTTTAGATGTTAGCTTAAAAATTTTTCGCTCAACCGTGAGGGTAAAGAAAACAATGTTCAATCAAGTACTAATGGGTTATGCCATCATGACACCATTCTTTCATTTTTTATTTGAAAACCTAATTATGTTTTGTTTTCTATGGATGCCCTTCAATGCAGTAGATAAGTAAATACAATCAGTTAGTGTTATGATTTGGATTCAGTACTGTGTCTGATGACTCGCAGGACTAAGGAGCCAAGTTTAATCTCGTGCTTGAAATAGTGGGTTTAAAATCTGGGATAAAATAGATTCAGCTCTGTTGGTAATTGAGTCCTCACTGTGAGCCAATTTAAAATGGCATGGTTATCACTTGCCTAATAATCGAGGCGCTGGGAAGGGCGGCTTCTGAGAGACTTGTTAAATTGGTAGAGCCTTCACGCTAAACAAGCTGTGGGCCGTGCAACAATGCATTATATACCATAATAACTGCTTTCTGTATGTGAAGAATCACTTCAGTGACTGTTTTTTTTCTATCTAGACATGCTATATCTGTGAGGAACAGGGTCGTGAGAGCAAAGCTGCTACTGGAGCCTGCATGACATGCAACAAACATGGCTGCCGACAGGCCTTTCATGTCACATGGTGAGTTGCAGAGCCTTAATATTCCAGCTATACGTCCTCATGAGCATGTTAATGTCCTTAATTATGCCATCTGTTAAATGGATAGGAATAGAAATGTTAAATACAACAGACTTCAGACTTCAATTGATTTGAGACCCCTTTAATTGTATAAAAATAGTTTAAACAATTACTGTAATTGTAATCTATAGTCTTTTTAAAGTTGCTTTTTCTCTCTTTGAATATAGCGCTCAGTTTGCTGGGTTATTGTGTGAAGAACAAGGCTCAGATGCTGATAATGTGAAATACTGTGGATACTGCAAGTACCATTACAGCAAACTAGTAAGAATCTGTTTTTTCTAAACTTTACTGTACTATCTGTATCACCCTGTCACAAAGCACCGCTGTTGTGGATCCCACAGTTTATGCTTTTGGTCGATGATATTGGAGAAATTCTGTCATTTGAAATTAAGGCGTTAATAACATCCAGGCTGAATATAAATAAAAGTTGCCGTACAGGAAATCTGTATGGTATCTTTTAAGTGGTTTTCAAGATGATGTGCAGGTAGATGCACTAGTGTTCAAAAAGATTGGGATCGGTATGATTTAAAAAAAAAATAGTTTAATGCTTTTATTCAGCAATTGCAGCAAATGCTGTTTTTTTTTCTATTCTATTCTTTCTTTTCCTCAAAGAATCCTGAAAAAAAAAAACATTACAGATTCCATGAAAATATTAAGCATTAATACTTTTTTTGAAACTTGAATTTCAACTTTCAACTTTTTTTGAGTTTCAAATTGAAACTTTTTTCAACTGTAATTAACAATAATAAATGTTTCTTGAGAACCAAATCAACACGCAAGAAAGATTTCTGAAAGATCACGATACACTGCATTCTGAGTACTGGCTTCTAAAAATTCAGTTTTGCATCACAAGAATAAATAATATTTTAAAATACATTAAAATAGAAAGCAATTATATGAAATTGTAATAACATTTCACTGTTACTGTTTTTACTGTGTTTGGATTAAATAAATGCAGCCTGGTTCTTTCAAAAACGTAAAAAAAAATCTTACAGATCCCAGACTCCTCAGAACAGGAGAGTATGTGTTGTTTTTCCCATAAGTTATGTGTTTTAAAAGTGAGTTAGTATTTGCTGGTCATGGTTTGTGTCTTTTGCCATTAGTGCTTCATATATTGAGGTATACTTCATGTCTCTAGTGCATTTCCGAAGCACTCAAGCTACCGATTTTTTACATTGGCCAGTACATGAATCATGTCGAGCGCTTCATTGTGACCATGTCATCATCGTTCAAGCTGTTCTTGCACATCCAGAATCGCACGTGAACGCAGAAAAAGACACTCCCTCATCTGGAAATATCTCTCATTTCTCGAATGTCTCGCACTCCTCGTCCAATTACAGCTGCTGAAAGCTGAGCTGTGGCATAAGCCCCCAGCGGCCCCTGCCGCCCCCACCTCGATCTCCCTCAAACCCTTTAACCCCTTAATCTCGTTGACAATCAACAGCAACTCACTGGACCTTTGTCTGTGGCTCTCCTTTCCTCTCCTTCCCATCATCCCCCCCTTTCCTGTATTTCCCCCTTCACTCTGTCTTAATGCCCCTCTCAGAAAAAGAGGGCTAAGGTTTCAGAGAGATACACGGACTGCCCAGTGGCAGCTCTCAGTGACAGCATAACAGCCTGTGGTTTTCTGTCCAGCTTCGCTTGGTCCTCTGTGTACTCCTGGGCTTGGGCGTTTGTGTGCGTGTATGCGTGCGCGTGCGTGTGTGGCAAGGGGTTTTACTCACTCCAGCCCTAGAGCTACACTGAGCTTTAGAGCCACAGCCCCCTGCTGCTTCTCAGATTTGTGCTGTGTATGTGTGTGTGTGTCTATCCTCCCACTCAACAAAGGCTTCTAAGATACTGCTAGTCCTCTACAGGTCTTCTGAGTAAGGGGCTGGAGGCAGGGCCAGCGCTTTGTGATGTTCTCATAGGGGATTGTAATGAGTTGAGGATGGAGCGATAGTGATGTTTATGTATACACCGTTTTATTTCATTCAGGCATTTATGACTACTCTGGTTTCTGGTGATAGATGCTGGAGTCAGAGTATTTCATGTCTTTTTTTCTTGTGTTACTGTTGTGATTTTATGTATTCATTCATATTTTACCGTTTTTTTTTTCATGGTTTTATTTGGGCTTTTTAGCATCTTTGTTGGCTTATATATAAATATATATTTATATCATCATGATTTAAAAACTTATACATGTACACTACCTTTCAAAAGTTGAAAAATGTATACTTTCAGAATTGGGTGCATTTCAATTGACAGTGAAGACGTTTTATGTTACAAAAGATTTCGGTTTCAAATAAATGCTGTTTTATTACTGTTCGTCAGAATGCTGAAACAATATCACAGTTTGGACTAAAATATTAATCAGTGCAAAAATGTTTCTTGAGCACCAAATCAGCAAATTAGGACGATTTCTGAAGGATCATGTGACACTAAAGAAAATTCAGCTTTGCCATTACAAAATTTTAAATGGGGGGGGGGGGCTACTGGTACTACAAGCTTTTAAACGGTAGTGTTCATTTATATAAATATAATTAAGATATATAAATATATGTTTCAAGAAATTTTTTTTGCCATCTCCCATTTTGTTGTTTTGTCAGAATAAAGTGACAGCACATTGCTCGTTTTGTTTGTTGTCATCCATTGTGGTGATTGCACTATTGTACATGACAGCATGATGTTTCTGCAGGATGTACCATGTCTCCCTGTCACCATGTCAATGGACTGACAGCATCAGCACAGTCTCTTGGATTAATAGTTCAATAGCTGGCTACTAACCCCTGACTTTTCCATGTAGGCCTTTGTTTCAGTGGGCTGCTGGTAAACAAAGACCATTCTGTGACCTGAGGTTTTTATGTGGCATTTGTTGACAATAGGAGCATTAGATACCGTTGACTTCAAAAGAAATGAGGCATATTTTACTAAGATTTTTTTTTAAATAAATGGAGAAAAATATTAGGAAGAATTGTGTTGTGAGAATATATGTGAAGTTGGTCAGTTTAAATGTCAGTTTGAATGCGCATTTTTATATATATCAGCTGTTTCTGTTGGTAAGAAAATATTGTTGATTTGTATTTTTTTTAATAGAGAAATTAAACTTTGGCTTTCCCAAACTATATTCCTGTAAGTAAAATAGCCCTTGGATGCTGCCATTCTGTTACAAAAAAACGAACAAATATTCTCATGTAAGTTGCTTTTTGACAGAGTAGCTTCTCAAAATACAAGAATATCCTGATTGGTCATCATGACACTGTCTTTTTCATTCTTTCCTTCCGTTATTGTCTTCTATCGGTTTCCTTTGTCTCAGTAAGGGCTATTTTCAGTGTTGCCACAAAAAAAAAAGACAGAAGTAGGAAATAGGAAAAAAAGATAATTGGACAGACTTTAAATGGCAACTCGAAGTTCCTCTTTCACCTTTTAGAGAAGGAGCAAAGGCCGTGGTAGTAGGGCTCAAAACTTAAGTGATTCTTCCACTCACTCTTTGGATAAGCACCATGACAAGGAAAAGAAGGTAAGGCAGCCTCCAGATCTACCTCACTTCCTGCCATGTGTGATTGATGCCCCCCTCCTCATGACTTCAGACTATGAGGTAAACGCACAAAGCCAAAACTCTTGTTTGTCCGAAATATGCACCGCTGTGATTAGTTTTATTTAAATCACATGAGCCACCGTCACCCTGTGCCGCCCCTCACACGCACACTTTTCATATCCCACAAAGCTTTTAAAGCCACGGGAGGGAGAAGAGTGTCTTTTATCACTCAAAGTGATTAGTATTTTGGTGCTGCCACAAATGATCAACATAAAGAGTGCTGTATTCATAGAAAAGCATCCGTCATGGCCATTAGTTCCACAGAGTACGTTTAATCAGTATTGATAGGTAGTGTAGTAATTTGTTCCACTAATTTTCTATACGCAGCCATACCGAATGAAACATGTAGCATTATTAGCCCTGTTCGCCTTCCCATCTAATTCAATTAAGCGTAGGCCCTGTAACATGGCCTCATATCAGTAAATGTGTACGTACCAGCAGAAAATGATCTGTACTGCGTGGAAAACATGTTTGATTGTGCCTCTGCCTCTATTTTTCTCTTCTTGCTGTAATAACGGTGGTATCTGAAATACTAATCCAGCAGACCTCATAGTGTGAAATGTGCGGAGGAGCTCGTCACATCTATCCAACGTCACTGATAAATTTCTGCCTGTCCCTAGCAGATCCCACATATTTCAAACACTCAGCCTCTGTGCAGCCATCTTAATCAGCGATAGCTTGCCTGATTTGTTCTATACGAACCGGGTCATTAAAATGGCTCTCAATGTTGATTAAATGTTTCTTTAAATGCGTCGTCGCATTTTTCCGTTTTTGACGTTTGTTGGAAGAATTTACGTTTATTTATTTTCATATATTTACTATTTATTTAATATACTCATCATTTAATAATTCTGCTTAATTATTATTATTTATTATTATTTTCTAGTGATATTGTTTTATTTTAAATAAAGGGAATTTTATGACATTTTATGTCTTTTTTTAAATCCCCTTGAAATGTAAAAAAATTTAAATTCTTTTGAAACGTGATAATTTTTTTTGCTATTCTGCAAGCTTACCAGCTTATATATTAAGTCACGAATCAATTGTAAAGTGTGGAATCACACATGCATTTTTTTGTTTATATATATATAATATATTTGTATTATTTTGCTATTGTATTTTGTATAACAAAACAATTAGGCTAAAACCATTTCAGTCATTATGAATCACATTTTAATGTAATGTAAAGTATTAGACTCCATTTAAGGAATTGTATTCCATTCATGTATTTAAATGTGAATCTGAAAGCTCTCAATAGTCAGTTGAACACTTACAGCGGGGAGTGGAGGTCATTCATCGAGGCTGTTGGTTATTTGACACAAATTCACTAATTATTTGAATTGGTTTGAATGAGTTTGCATTGGAAATGCATACCAAAATGGAGTGGATGGTGCTCTGTTAAGCTGCTCAAAGACCGACTGTGCAGCCTGTGTAATCTAGGTCAGCGAAAAATTAAATATGAGATGCCATTTAAAGCCGTTTCTCCCAGAATTATTCTGATATTTAACTTCTTCGCCTTATTCTGCATTGAGAGGGGTTGACATAAACAATGATTCGGGTTGGAGCCGTATTCTTGAAGATGGTGTTGTGGAGTGCTCTGTGCTCCACCATGGCTATTGTTACGATGCCTGATTTGCATTAGCAAAGGGGGCCCATCCCCCCTACTCCACATTCCCAGGTCAAAGGTCGGTGGGCTCAGATGTATACCTAGCTAATTCCAAACCCCAGGGCCAAACAACAATAGAGGCTAAAAGCTTCTCAATTTGCAGCTAGTTCAGATGTGTTCTGAGAGGCAGTCGAGAGCGGCATGTGGGAATAAAATGATGTTTTCAATCTCTCTTCCTCCTCCTGCCTCACATATCTTGAATTCTGATCTGTTTGGGTTTTTTGCTTTGTTTTCTGGATGATTAGTTTTCTTCTTTTGTATTTAAACTTTTTTTTATTTTATTTTAAGATTTATTATATTTATTCATTTCCGTAGTTGAATTTTAATACTTAGCCCGAAGCCTCAGGAGTAATTTCTTTGTTCATCCTGATTCTCCACATTCCCAGGTCAAAGGTCGGGGGGCTCAGATGTATACCTAGCTAATTCCAAACCCCAGGGCCAAACAACAATAGAGGCTAAAAGCTTCTCAATTTGCAGCTAGTTCAGATGTGTTCTGAGAGGCAGTCGAGAGCGGCATGTGGGAATAAAATGATGTTTTCAATCTCTCTTCCTCCTCCTGCCTCACATATCTTGAATTCTGATCTGTTTGGGTTTTTTGCTTTGTTTTCTGGATGATTAGTTTTCTTCTTTTGTATTTAAACTTTTTTTTATTTTATTTTAAGATTTATTATATTTATTCATTTCCGTAGTTGAATTTTAATACTTAGCCCGAAGCCTCAGGAGTAATTTCTTTGTTCATCCTGAAAGAGATTTGCTACATTTCACTAATCTGCTGAAGGCATTGATGAATTATGATAAATGTCTTGGCTTTTTGTTCTCTCTCTTTTGCACTCACCTCTAACTGAACTATTCATCTTTGTATAATTAAGATAGCTGTCTGTCGTCTTATGTCAAACTCTTGCAAGACGTTTGTGTCAGAATTTTAATTAGACCAGTAAACAGCAGTTCATACCTGCGTTTTGTCATTACGTAAGGGTCTGCATATTTAGACTTTCAATTTATTTATTTGATGGAAATAAGATGAATGTTATGTTGTGTATTTTTCTTTTTTCCATTCATAAACACAGCCAAGTAGTGACATGATTTTTTTTTTCTCACAATAACGCCCGCCCTGTCAACACCTTTAGGAACAATGTTAATTAAGACTTGGATTCTTGTCTTAGCATCCATTTAAAATTAGCATTGGATCTGTAGGTTGTAGATGAAAACCAATAGCATTGAGTATTCAATACAAATACAATATTTTCCACCCACTTAAAAAAATTGCCAGGGTGCTTATTCAAAACCTTCATTTCAAATGTGTATGATTTTCCCATTCTCAGAAAATGGCATTTAAAATAGTATATGCAGGAAAATTGCAAATGGTGTAGAGGAAGCGGAAGCTCATTTTCATTTTCATTGAATAACTTGAGCCTGAGGGCCTCTGGAATTGTCACTGCCACTTGCACTGAGAAGTAGCATAAACCGTTATCATGTTCAGAATAATTGTCAATTCTAACTGAGACAATGGTTGGAAGATGACAGGAAGTGGCTAAAAAACGATAGACGTTTGTATATCGCTCCAGTGGAGAATGTGTAAATATTCTTTAGGAATGGTTCAGGATCACTGCATATTTTTACAGCCGCACTCTTAAGAACAGAAACGGAGAGGTTGGAGGTGTTCTATTGGAGCGCGAGGTGTAAATTTGTTCACGCTCCCGTTTCTCGGGCGCAAATAGAACTGTGTGGAGCGCAGCACTAGACTGGGGTGTAAATTAAGCAGCTGTAGACTCTGGTCAGGCCTGCAATGTGAAACCTTACCCATCTACAGGAAAACCCTTTCTTTTTCTTTACATGAAGATCTTTATGGACAGCACAAGTGACTATCCTTGCTGGGTTTGAATGCATGCAAATGATTGACTCGTTCAGAATGAAACTTTCATTGTTTCACCTTTTTGAGTTTCTCATCTTTCTGCCTCTTTGTTTCAGAAATGGCACTGTAGGCTAAAGTCCTTCCCAAGCTGTACTGGCTTTAAAGCATTTGCGGAACCATCTTCATTAATGTTTTTGTTTGTGTCGTTTCATCACAGAAACATAAAGAAAGAGATCGCCACAAACCAAAGCACAAAAAATCTTTGGAACTGTCACCTTCCCTGGTACCAGCACTGATGGTGACCTCTGAGAAGGTGAGTTAGACTATGATAAATGCATGAGAATTTGTTTTTATTTTATTTATAATTTCTATTAATTTTATTTATTTCTTTTTTTTCAATATTCATTTAATTTCTTTTTACTTTTTTGTCATTACATTATTTTACAAAATGCACTCTAAGCATTTTTGTCCATGTGTGCCTTTCCCTTTTTGGCCACAGAGCTACAACAGCAGCAGTGGTGGAAGTGTCTCCTCAATCTCCTCTACTCAGAAGCGATTGGACGACAGCGGAGGTCGTTTCACCACTGCCAACTTCCAGGAAGTTCCGTCTCACTCCAGTTCCAGCTCCAAGGATGGCAGCCTCTCTGATGGCAAGAGCTCGGATGGCAAAAGCAAGAAGTCCAGCAGTCACAGCACCAGCTCGAGCTCTGGCTCCAGGGGCCGTAAGTCCGTGCCGGGCAAACCCCACGGCCCTGTGGTCACCACAGCGACGTCATCCACAGCTCCCTCCTCAACCAGTCCATTTCAGCAAGGTGAGACTTCCAGACATGCCAACTTCACTTCAGAAATGAATTAGCATGTTCCCAAATTGAGCTGCCAGATTCAAGTCTCGTGTCGACTTCCTTTGTGTGACATTTGAGTGAGTCTGTTGTGACAGGGCTGGATGGAAGCCAGAAGCCGTAAGCTTGGCGTGTGTGTGTGATAAGGCTGTCGTCTGACTGGCTGCTGCTGCAATGTGGAGCGGCGAGTCTTTCCGAGCCGTTTGTGCCGTGGGTGGCGTCTCCTGTGTGTGTGTTTGAGTGTTTCTGTGTGTTATGAGGGAGGTTTGGGAGTCAGAGGAGAAGCATTTTCCCTTCCTTTCTGCTATCAAGCCGTGATGGAGGGATTGAAGCAGAGGTCATGTCTGGAAAATTCTGACTAATCATTAATGTGTCAGAGTACGGCAGGGGCCTCCTTGCTGGAGTTACAGGCAAACTTCAAGGAACCCTGGAAGAAGAAATAACACTGTGTTTTCTCAGCAGAGCGCAATGAGATCAAAAGATGGTGGTGATTAACTATGGAGACTAATCTTCTGCCTGGGAGTATGTCATATTGTATGGGCTCTTGTGACAACACCCGACATAGACCCAGGGTCGGTGAGCCACTCGACTGTTCTGTTCCGCTGCCCTGATGTAATATTCCAAGTATATGAGAGATTGTAATATCAGCAATCTTTTATTAAATTGAGCCCTTTGTGTTTGACAGTAGCAGGGAGCTATAGTAATATGGAAAGCTTTTTATAATGCAGAATATTTGAGTCTTGTTGTTGTTGATATAAGAAAGGCAGATAAAATCTAATATTCTTTCAGACATGGTTTATGTTGATCTCTGGGTCACTTGCTTAAATTCAGCTCTTTTTCTTTTTTCTTTTTTTTATATTTCTTTTTATTGCATTTTAACAATACACGTGTACAAATAAATTTCCATGTAACACACACACACACACAAAATAATAATAATAAAAAAAGGGCTTCTCAGTATTTTACGTTAATATACAATATCACCTCTTTTTTTAGTCTATCAACACATTTCCAACTCCACCACATTTTAAAAACAATTTGAAAGGTCTCCAAACTCCATCAAAAATTTTGTATTTATCTCTTAATATACAAGTAATTTTTTCCATTAACATATTTTTTACAATTTTTTTTTTTCAGCCATCGTCCTATATTTGGTGCATATATACTTTAAAGAAATAAGCCGTTACGCTTGAAGAATACATATATTTAAAAATATATAGTCCGTCTTTTTTAACTTGATCTCCTTAGGATATAAATGAAATAAAAAGATTAAAGGTGACAGTGGTATATTAGCATCAAGGATCTTTTCGCTTGAAGAATACATATATTTATAAATATATACTCCGTCTTTTTTTAACTTGATCTCCTTAAAATATAAATGAAATAAAAAGATTAAAGGCGACAGTGGTATGTTAACATCAAGGATCTTTTCTATCATTCCTTTCACATCTTTCCAAAAATTCCTAACTTCTTCACACTCCCATATACAGTGGTATAGCGTTCCTTTAAAGTCACTGCATCTTAAGCAAGTAGGTACGTTTACATGGACACTTTTTGCTTCCATCTGAATTAATTCATTCTGTTTTAGAGGTTTACATGTCCTCTCGCTCGGATTACAAAAGGAATAAACCGCCCCTTACAATCCGATCGAAATTTTAGTCGGATCTGACCAATTCAATCCGATTGACTTGTTTACATGTGACTTTTTTATTCTGATTGTGCTTCTAGTCCTATTACGATCGGATTAGTAGGGTCCATGTAAACGCAGCTAGTGTCTGGGATATTTTCATTATATTTATGCAATACAACTGGAGTTATGTAAATCCTCATCAACCACTTATATTGTAGCAGTTTCAGTCGTGTGTTCATTGTTAGTGATTTGAAGAGTCCTTTGATCCTGACACCAGCATATTATATAATGAAGAAATTAAACCTTTACTAAAACAATTTCTTGTCGCTTCTTTTTACAAAATAGATGGCATATCGAGGGAATTATTTTGTGATTTGAGGATAAAATTTCTTATTTGTAAATAAAGAAATGTTTTGTAGGAATATTGTATGTATTAACTATTTCCTCAAATGACATAAGAGTATTGTTAACATATAGATCTGCTATCTTTCGAATGCCCTTGTCAGCCCAAATCTTGAAACCTGTGTCTAATCTGCCTCACTGTAAAAAAATTCCGTAAAATTTATGGTAAAAAACCGGCAGCTGTGGTTGCAAACACCATCATGGTAACACACATGAAACTGAAATAATGCAATAAACATTCATTTAACAACATTAGGTGTAACGCACAACCCTAATATATAAAACTGATAAGAAGAAACAGTTATTTCAACAAAAAAAAAATTTGAAATGTAACGCAGGGAATTCTGGGAATGTCAATTTACGGTTATTCACTGTAAATTATACGGTCTTTTTCACTTCCAAAAATTGTATACTACCGTAAAATTAATGTCCAATACATGTAATGTCCAATACAGTTTTTCACCGTATATAGTAGGGGAATTTACCGTTAACCATTTAACAGGTTTTTACTGTAGCATTTTTACAGTCTTTTACCGTTAAATTCACTGTCATTTTTTACAGTGCTGGTTTAAATTTTTCATTGCCCCAAATGGGACTAAAACAAGATAAATGGTAGAAGGCACCTAAATATTTTTTCACATCAAACCATACGGCAATCATATTTATAACTATAGGATTGGAAACAATTTTTTTAAGATCTTTCAATTCTGATGAATATAAACACAAATTTAAAGGCAGGCCAGAATTAATGGAGCCGATTCCATATCCACCCAAGACGGGCAGTCCTGAGATAAAAAATAAAACATAATTGTTCTAAGTTGCACAGCCCAATAATACCAATGAAAATTAGGACACTGTAGATCTCATCTATCATATGGCAAATATAGAAGTGTCAGACGGAGTCTGGAACATCTGTTATTCCAAATGAATTTAGTGGACATTTTTTAAGTCGTTAAAATAGAGGTTTATGGGAAGGCAGAGGAATGTTCTGGAATAAATATAAAAATTTTGACAAAATATTCATTTTCAAAATATTTATTCGACCAATTAAAGATATGGGTAAGGACATCCATCTTTCTATATAGCTACTAACACTTTCAAGAAGTGGATCATAATTTACTTGCACAACATCTCCTAGTTTTGGTACAATTTTTATACCCAAGTATGTAAAACGGTCAACTATATTGAAGATTGCAACACAATTACTAGGTTGCTGTCTGTCAATCTCATTTAGATATAGAATAGAACTTTTAGAATTGTTAATCTTGTATCCAGAATTTTTGCCAAATGTACTGATAAGATCTAATAAAGCAGGTATTGATGTATCAAGATGCTTTAGGAAAAGAATGACATCATCAGCGAATAACGCAATTTTAGGTTCTATCTGTCCAATCTTAATGCCTGTTAATTCCACATGTTTTTTTTACTGCTATTGCAAAAGGCTCGATGGAGATGGCAAAAAGAGGAGAACCTTGTCTACACCCTCTTGATACGCTAAATGGTTTTGAAACAATATTATTTGTCAACACTTCTGCTGTAGAACTATTATAAAGTAATCTAACCCACCTACAGTACCTTTCACCAAAACCAAATCTGACCAATATATCAAACAAATAAGATCATTCAACCCGATCAAAGGCCTTTTCGGCGTCCAATGATAGTAGAGCAGTATCTCGTTCACCCCTCTGTTCATAAAGAATATTTAGGACTCTTCGAAGATTGTGAAATGTTTGCCTACGTTGTATAAAACCATTTTGATCCTCTCCTATTAAATTTGATAGTGTACCTTCTAACCTCTTAGCCATAACTTTACTTAATATTTTTGTGTCTGAATTTAACAAGCTAATTGGCTGCATATTTTAACACTTTGTGTTAGTTTTTCCTGGTTTTGGTAATAATGTAATTAAAGCTCCTCTCATTGATGCAGGCAAAAGATCTTGATATTCAGCTCTTTTTCACACATTTTTTGCTTGTCTTCAGAGAGAAATGGCAGGAAATTTATAGCAGTGTTTAATCTAGGATCCAGCGATAAGAATGCTGCTTATCTATTGGTTATGGCAGCTGTTTGTGTGACATTGCTTTATCTTCGAGACGTGTTAACTGGCATGCAAGCTCTGTGCGTGTTTTAATGTTAGCGGGAGGCTCAAGGGATAGACCGTGTAGTAAAATTGGGAAGTAAAGCCTCAGCAGCCTCCTGCCACAGCTGTAAAAACATGCATGTCGGAGTTGTTTCTCTGGCTTTGGTTAAAGGACCTGAGGGGAGGGTTCGAATGAACACCTAGATCTGGGTCACCCTTCTTGCCTGCCTACATAGCCTACCTGATTGTTTGGCTTCCTGCAAGTTTAACTGGCCCACCTAGGAGTGGAGGATGATGGCATTGCTTGATTTCAGGTTCTGTAGATTATTTTCTGGTTTTGTAGAGATGTAAGCCAGCCTTTTTGGGTTTTTTCGTAGAATAATTTTAAATTGTATTCATTGTCAATGATAAATAAGAGGGTCCTTGATAAGGAAAGGAGAATCTTTTTCAAATCTAATTTAAAACGTGCTGAGTTCTTAAAAATGTTTGTATGCATGTTTCTGGAAATGAACATTTCTGTATAATTTTCAGCTGAAGCATGTGCGCACCGTATTTCATATTCATATCTGTACATATCTTAAATGTTATTTTCAAGCCAAGTCGTTGTATTTTTGAATAAGTTAACAGATCAGGACAAAAAAAAAAAAAGACCTTCAATCAGTACTTGGAAATTTTGGACAACTGATATAGTTATTCACATGATAATTGAAATTGGTACGGTACACAGCCATTCAAATGTTTATGGTCAGTCAGATTTTTTTAGGAAATTAATTAGTGCTGTCAAATTATTACTCGTGATTAATCGCATCCAAAATAAAAGTTTTTGTTTACATAATATATGTGTGTGTATTGTGTATATTTATTATGTATATATAAATACACACATAGAGCATTTTTTTTTATATTTACATGTATACATTTATATTCATATAATTTGTCATGTATAAATATATTTAATATATAAACGTAACATTTTTTTCTTAAATATATACATGCATGTGTATTTATATATACATAATAAATATACACAGTACACACATATATTATGTAAACAAAAACTTTTATTTTGGATGCGATTAATCGCTTCACGGCACTAAAATTAATACTAATAATCAGCAAGGATTCATCAAATTGACTAAAAGACATTTTTAATGTTCTAAAAGAGTTCTAATTCAAATGAAAGCTGATCTTTAGAACTTTCTAATTATTAAAGAATCTTGAGTATGTATCATGGATTTCACAAAAAGTACATCACAACTGTTTTCACCGTTTATAATAATAAGAAATGTTTCTTTGACACCAAATTAGCATATTAAAATGATTTCTGAACGATCATGTAGAACTTAAGGCTGGAGTAATGGCTGAAAAGCTTTGCCATTACAGGAATAAGTCACATTTCAAATATATTAAAAAACTGAACCCATATTTTTGATGATAGTGTATAATAAGGCAGAAGTTTTGAACTATTTTGCACTAAAATTGATTGGTTTATGTGCTACAGTGTTACAAGCTCTTAGTAAAGATGATTGTTCTGCTGTTGTCCAGTTTAGCATTCCAGCTGTGCTGTGTGTTTGTGTGTATTTACAAAATTGTGGCTGCAAAAGGTCTTAGTTTTATGACCACATGCCACCTCTCTGGTGGTTTATGCTGTCTCTTTGTTAATGTGGTTGTGATATTAAGGTGCGCTTTCATCTTTGTCTTCCTTTTTCTCTTGCAGGTCTTTTATTAGGCAGCAGCAGCAGTAAATCAGCCACTAGTGGGTCTGTGGTTCAGCCCACATCTGATTTCCTCAGCTTCTCTGATCCCAGCCTTAGGGCTGGCGACTCGTACACACCTCCATCCTTTAGCCGTTGCCACATGAAGGGTGGTGCAGAAAGCACAGCCTCTGAAGGCATGGTGGCTCTCAACACCTTCGGCATGGTGTCCCTCCCCCAAAGCTCAAGCTCAAGCAAGCATTACGAAAACTGTCACCCGGCCGGAGAGCTGGGAGGCCTGGCCTCAGCAGGCTACAAACGACCCCAGCCCTCCTCGTCCTCTTCCTCTGCAACATCATCTTCATCTACTGGCGAGGATGGCGTGAAGAAGAAGAAGAGAGGGAACTGGAGGAACCGGTATGGACCGTGCTTCACTACCCAGGACAGTAAAACCACTGATACGGGAGAGCATGGCTCCACAATGCCCTCATCCACTTCCCCCTCGCCATCCTCCTTGAGCACTATGGCCTGCCGTGGGAGTGCAGTCAGCAGTACCGGAGGTGTGGGAGCAGTGGGTGCTGGTAGCAGCAGTCTGGGGATTCAGAAGTCCCCATCCCTCCTCAGGAATGGAAGCTTACAGGGTATGACTGTCAGCTCCCCACCTGCTGGACCAGGTGAGCAGACCTTAGTCAGGGTAAATGCCATCCATGTTTCATTTGTTTTGCTATGGTCTACTGTCTTAAAGTCAACATAGAATTAACATTTTTTTGTGAATTTTGTGATGCACATATAATAAAATTCTCGCTAATAACAATGTATATTTTCCTGTTATAGACAATAACAATAACGGGGCACAGGAATTACTTAGTGCTGCACGATTAATCATTTTAATTGTGATCACAATTTTATGCTTCTCGCGATTAAGCATAGTCGTCTACAATATTGGCTTGCTGGTTATTTATCCTGAAACTTTTTATTTTTATTTGACATTTTTGTTGTCTTGCATTGATGATGAGCCTCAACTAGTTTTAATGCTTGCGGTTGCCAGATGTAAGGAGTTGAAATCCTCAGTCAGAATTTTTAACTTGGATGGATACATTTTCTTCCTAGTGTTTTTTTCTAGAGCTTTCGTGAAAGTGCAATAATACTGATGAAATCGAAAAAAAAAAAAACATTTCTCAAGTGAAAACAACTGTGATTAATATTCGTGATTTTGTTTTTGAGCGAAATTATTTATCACCATCAACAAAAAGTAGTTTTCAATGCTAAATATGAATTTAGGCATGTACATATATGGACTGAAAAGAAAAAACGATTTAATAATAAAACTAACCAGTTTGGTACTGCTGTGTTGTGCATCCCTAGTATGCATTATTCCAAAGAAAACATGTTTTCATCCTTGCTTTCAAGTGACTTTCAGCTGACGTCACCAACCTTTCTTGTTTTTTTAACCATCTGCCATATTGAGACCACTTTAGCTGATCCAGTCAAGTTCATTTCATTCTGAAATGCATCATAGTACAGATGTAGAAAGGGTTGTAAACATTATTTCTTGTTGACTTTGAGGTCCTTAGTTGCCCATGTTGTTGCTGTTGTTTTTTTTCGATCTTCCACATCCTCATTTTCATTCCTTTCAAATTACATATGACGTCTACCATGACTGAATTTTTTTCTTTTTAATAAGTTGCATACTAATAAATCTAAAAGTTCTCTCCTAATATTTCCCAGCTTTTTCTTTTTTCATGGACTCTTATTAATTGTGCACGGAAGCCTACAAACATAGGCTATTATAAATTGGCTGACATAATTATTTTTCAAAAATTACACATGGAGGGTCTTTTCAATATTGCATTCAGTTCAATTCATGTAATTCATCTTAATCTTTCCCTGAATCGCAATTTGTTCTATCTCTGTTTATTTAAAAAAAAAATAAAAGGAATCCATTTGAGGTACGCTCTTCTCAGAGAGAAGCCTGGGAACCAGCATGATGTTGTTTTGGTCTGTGCTGAAGCTCATTAGGGTAAAAGTGGATGGAGGTGCTCTCTAAAGTGCTTCCTCATTCCTACCTGATTGAGAGCTTAGAGTGGCCCGCTGAATCTCCATAGAGATGCACATTAACCTGTTGAGCCCGAGGGAGCTGGAGGAGGGAAGGAGCCTGTAACTGGCAATTCGTTCAATTTTTTTTATTTGTTCTTCCCTGACGTTGTCTTCTTTCGGGATCTAGAGTGAGCCGGCTTGAGATAGTGTGTAGAAATGCCCTGACCCCTACTGGCCTTCCCGCTCACTGAGTTGGAGCCAGAACACCTAAATACATGGTCACACCATTCTTTCTCACTCATTTGCAGGCACTTCCTCTCTCTCTCACCTGCTAAATCTCGCCATTGACATAAGTGCTCCGTGTACGCATGGCAGCTATAATGTTAAAAGGGACCTTATCTGTGGTGCTGCCCTGTTACTTGGCAACCATCTGGCTGTTTTGTAGTTCCTTTCCTTCTGATCAGAACTTGAAAACTCTGGTGTATCCTTTTCTCTGTCATTCCCTACTATGTACCATCTCACTATCGCCCTGTCCATTCTCTAAAGTCCATATGGGTTTTTTGTGTTTGTTTGGGACTCGTTCTCCCACCCATCCCTGCCCTCACCTGTTCCTGGCCTTTGGCTGGACTGTAAATATTTAGTCATGGCTAATGCAGGGCTACAGCAGAGTGCTCCAACTCATCTATCTGTCTCACCCTCCCTCAACGGCTCCCAGCTCTTTTTTTTTTTTTTGTTGGATGGCTGGTTTATCAGGGGGAACAGGGGGAGGCTATTATTAAATGCAAACATCCATCTCAGCTCTGGCCGGGTGTAGGACTTTATAGGGTGTTATTTGGAGAGGGGGAGAACGATTCTTATTGGTTTCCATCTGAAATTGGAAAGAAAAGCTTGGTGAGACAGATGAGTGCAATGTACTGTAAAGGCTGGAATGCTCCTGTACAACGTTTAAATCCTAAACAGATTTGAAAACACTAGGGTTGCAGAAGACAACTGGGCATTATACACTAAAGGACTGATGATCACACACTACCAGACTTTGAAGTTATTCCAAACACAACAAACTCACGTAGAAACATGTGCCTTGTTGCTAGGAGATGCATGACAAATGTTTCTGTGAAATGTCAACTCCGACTGCCCAATATCTGCAGGCTGGTTCTGACTTTCAGCAACTAGCGTCGACTCCTCCAGACTGCAAATCGGGGCAAAAGTTGTGCAGTGTATTCCAGCCTTTAAAGGCTGTTCACACAAACAGGCAGTTTTGGAGCTGCTTTTCTTTTGTTTTTGAATTAAAACATACTCTAGTGCTCTAAAAATGCGGGACTCAAGTTATAATAAGTTCAACGATTTAAAATGCATGTCTCAAGACCTTGCATTTTCCTTTTCATTGTCCTGCGTTTTGCGTTTTTAAATGCAAAAACATGTTACAGTGTATCTGTATGATTTCCATTCCATTTTTGAACACGAGTTGATATTGAAGAATGTTTTAACCATTTTTTTTTATCCACACTGAAAGTCAACATTTGGACCCCACTGACTTTCATTATATGGACACAAAACATTGAGACATTTTTCAGAATAGCTTTTTTGTTTCACAGACGAAAGTCGCACAGGTTTGGAACAACCCGACACAAATAATAGGGGCTTTCAGTTCTAGAAACGTTTGAAGACACTAAATTAGCTCCTACTTCAGAGCAGGGTCTAAAACGGTTCTATAGGAACTATCAGTGACATAAGTGTACACTGATTGGCAAAACGCATACAAAACACCAGCTACCTGGCATTTTTTAAAAACCATGTAAAAATATTTTCTCCACGAACATGGGAAACAGCGATTAATGGCATTTACCTGTTGTCTGCAGTGTTATGTTCTTCAATGATAACACTGCAAGTTGTCATAGGAGATTTTAGTCAGATTTTCATGCTCATTCATTCGCCTAAATTGTGTTTACATTCCATCTCCGTTAATCACGAAACCCATGACACACTACAAAAACAGCTCCAATCACGGCGTCTTCCATTCTCTGGTTATTGACGTTCATAAATGTTGTGAATAAAGACGTCGCTGTCAGCTGCTTCAAAGTTCCTGCTGCCGGTGCAAATGCAACCAGGAAAACGGCCCGAGGGAGAAATTGGTTCTCTAGGAACTACCCTGCTGACTAGTTCTTAGAACTGAGTTCCTAGAACTACATGGCGTGAAAGCCCCTAATGACAGAATTTTCATTTTTGGGTGAACTATCCCTTTAAGCCTGGATTTATTGCTCGGGATGAAACTATGCAGCCGTCCTGTTCATTCAAATAAACATTCATGAGCAAAGCATGCGTTTGCTGCATTCACTGCAGCCATGCGCTGTAACTTATCTTCACTTTCGGCCGGCATGCTTTAGAAACGTCAAGCCCATCTGTTCGCTTGTGATAGAACATATCTTGAAGCTAGTAACCCAACACAAAACACTTCAAGACATCGATCACTGCTCAAGATACCACATTTAAATTAAAAACATCTGCAACGTCAAAGGCCTAAATATGTTCTGCCGGCGTGCAACAATACCTCGAATCAGTCCCTGCTTTCTTCTCTTCGTCCGTAAGGAAAGTGCCGTGGATCCTTATCAGGTTCTGAGCCTCATCATTAACCTCCCTCTGAACTCACATGGATTTTCTGCTGAGAGAGGAGACGGGTTTGACTTGAAATGCTGGCTAATCTAATTTGAAATTTCCCCTCTCTTCCTCTGATTTGATAAGGGGGGTTTCAGGAGGAGATGTTAAGTCCTGATCGATCGGGCCCGTTCGATCAGCACCAGATAACAGGATCCTTGTCCTTGCTTTGTTTGGTCGCTCATGTCTAGTAACCTCTAATCAAATGCTCCCTTGGTTGACCTATTCTGAAATGTTAATTATTAACCAGATTACCAGATCAACATGATGATTTAAAGATTAATCTAATCATTAATGAGCCAAGTTAGCTGTTGGTCTCCCAAAAGTAAAACCAATTGGGATTAAATGGAATACCGTGACATAGCGATGTCTAAGCTTTCCTTTCTCTATTACATATTTCCTATGTGGAGTTTGAAGCTTGGTACTCTAAATGCTTCACGTGGTACTTCTCTGCCCAACAATGTTTCCTTGTTTCACCAGTGAATGTAGACTGCCGCGAGCCATTCATTCCTTTGTGTGGCAAGGGGGCCTCTCTCGTTCCTGCAACGGGTCAGCCTGGGCCATCAGCTGGGTTTATTTGAGATGGTGGCAGGGGAGGAGGGAGAGAGAAAAGGGAAAAAAATCAATAAAACAACAGCAACAACAAACCGCGTGCATGTCATGAACCGGCACATAAATATGAATGGGCCCGCCTGAAAAGCCCTCAGTCATTTTTACAGAAGAAATAGTGAGTCGTCAGATTCAGGGAACTGTTTTCTGGGTCACTGGGAGGCCGGTGCAGAGTGCATGTTGAGAGGACTCCGAAATGCTTTGTGCTCGCTCTCGAGGTCTGCTGTGATGAGGGCCTGGTCAGACAGGCCATTCAAAGTCCACAAAGTTCATCTCGGGGGCAGCGGCAAAGATAGATGGATAACCAGTGAAGGTATATTGGAGGACAGAGGTTGCCCTTACAGCTATTAAAACTTTGCGTTTACCACGATATTACAGGTCATAACCTGCGTTGATTTGTTTCACATCCCCCAGTTGCTATGCCAGATCTCCTGATAAACAAGACAATGTTATTTTTGACTCTGTGGGAATCAAAAGAGACTGTTTGGCCAAGTGGTTATCATTGAAAGTGTGCTGTTTTACGTTAATCATTTGCTGTAATTGCTGTCTTTTTGCAGGTGCGTACTCCAGCAGTAGTGATGTAGCCTGCCCATTGCCCAGTGCTTTGTTTGGAGGGTCTCTGTCCGGATCCAGCTCCGAGTTACCTACTCATCAGTCAGTGGTCACTTCCATGCCCACTCTCACATCTTTGCCCCCGACCGCCCCGTTCACCAGCACCTCATCCACACATGTGAGTGTTTAATGGACCTTATTATGTATTCATGCTCAGTGCTCACTCTGTATGTGATTGTTTGATTATTTCAGTACCCATTTGGTTTGGTTTTGTGGAAATGGGCAAATGAATGACTCCAGGCTAAATTAAATCTTTGTACGAGGTGTTTTTGTTTTGATTCAAATTTAAAAAACAGTTTAAATGAAGAGGTTAATTTGCAAATATGATGCAGTTAAAAAATGTAAGGGTCAGTTTTTTTTGTTGTTGTTTTTTTAAAGAAGTTAATACTTTTGTTCACCAAGGTTGCATTAAATTTGTCAAAAGTGACAGTAAAGACATGTAAATATTTGTTTCAAATAAATGCTATTCATTTTAATTTTCTGTTCATCAAAGAATCCTGAAAAAAACATTACTATTTCCACAAAATATTAAGCAGCATAATTGTTTTACACATTGATAATGAAAAAGAATGGTTTTCTTTAGCACTAAATAAGCATATTAGAATGATTTCTGAAGGAACATGTGACACTGAAGACTCGAGTAATGACCTTTGCTATCACAGGAATAAATTATTTGAAATTGTAATAATATTTCAAAATATTACTGTTTTTATTAAATGTATGCAGTCTTGGTGAGCATTTAAAAATCTTACCAACACCAAACATTTGAACAGAAGTGTATATTTGCAAAAAGTCCGTACCTAGATTTTATTTTAAAAAAGCAACATACATCTGCGAAGAAAGATTGTACTGATAATTGCACAGAGCTTTCAGCTCACACGTATCCTTTATACATAATCTCTCACAAAATTAACCAATTAAATAGAATTATACTCATCATCTTTGTACTGTGTGCTAATTTGCTCCAGTTTTATCTAGATAAATGCTGTTTGAGCATGTTCATGGCACAAATAGTAATTAACTCCTAAAAGGCTCAGATGTAAACGTTGGCTGCAGCTATTTATGTATTAAGTAACTCGTATTTTTCTTCGTGACAGGATTTTTTCTTTCTACAGAACAAATGAATTTGGTTTGCAAGTGCCAGGGTTTGTGCTAATGCAATATTTATATAATTGCAGCAGTATATTAACAGTATGAAGGAGGCCGTGTTAGGGCCACAATGGTACATAACATGTCAGTGTGAGAAGTAAAGTTCGTCACTTCAGACCTAATTTTTCAGCTCTTGAAAGACAGTGTTTTGAGTCATTTAGGGTATTTATGACTAGGCTGCTGAAGTATATGGTCTTAACGGATGAACGTCAGGGTGTTTCGATTGTGTTTGCATTAGCTAGTCAGAGCAGTATGTGTGGTCAAATAAACAGAATGAGACTGTGAGAAAAGTGCCGTAATTGGTTTTATATTGGCTATATTATTATTGCTTCGAGTCAGTAATTTTATATATGTATAGGAGTTTGAAGTTGGTAAGATTTTTTGAAAATGTTTTTGTTTAGAAAATGTTTATGCTCACCAAGGCTGCATTAATTGAATGAAAAATACAGTGAAAACCGCTTTAAAGTAGCTATTCTGAAATCATTCTAATATGCTGATTTGGTGAAAACATTTAAAGAACAGCATTTATTGGAAATATTAAATAAATGCATAATGTTACAAAAAATTGTGAATAAATACCTTCATGAATCAGTGACTTTAGAATCCCTACTGCATGTGTTCAGATGACAATAATAAAGTCAAGTCATTCTTACAGGCTCCCAGCGCAGCTCCAAATGGGCCCTTTGGAAGTGCACTAGAGACTGAGCACCGTCTCTGCCGCTCTCCTGAGCATCTTTGTCTTGACTTGCGCTGCTGTAGCAACCTGTCGTTTCCAGGCAACAGGGCTTTGTTTGTGCAGATCTGCCCTCTCTGCAGGCAGGGTGGCCTTACATTAGGAGATGAAGTAGACCCACTGATGGCCTTAATGCTGCAGGGCTCCCAGCAGTCCAGCCCCTCCTTACGCATGCTTGCAAATATATATCCCCCATTAGTCCTAAGCTTTATGTTATGGGAGATTTAATACAATGAGCTTTTTTCTTCACTAGGTTGTAATTAGCTGATCAGTAAACAGGTGACGTTTTTAAAACTATGCCCGGGGTCAGGAATAGAATGAATTTTTATTAGATATATAACATGGTGTTTTATCAAATATAATCTGTGCAAACAATCATCCTTTATTCCGTCAGCATGACTGTCCCTGAGGTGTTTGCAATTTTTTTTTCTTCCTCTCCATCCCTAACTCTCCCTTTGTGGATTGAAGAATGGTCGGATGAAAAAATTCAGTGGTTGCAAGCAGGGCAGTAGTGACCTTCGACCCCAGCGCACACCCCCTAGGCCCACCTCTGTCCCACTCTTCGTTAACCTCCACAATGGTGCTGAGAGCCCTAAGCCTCAAACAATCCGGCTGTCCCTCTTTTCCCTATGCGGGCGCATTGAGCCCGGCTCGCTGACGGGATGAGGGCTGACAGGCTGGACAGAGAGCTGTGTAGTGGGATGAGGGGTTCTCTTCACACTGGTCATGCTCCCTCCTCTCTCCACACGGCCTGAAAGAGGAGTCTGAGGAATGGGGAGGGCCTGAGGGGCCGTGAGGGGCCAGGGGAATGTAGGATATCATTTTTTTTTTAGTAGTAAAACTAAATATATCATTTTTAGTTTTAATAACTAAATATATTTTTATATCCTTTCGTTGTTAGCAGAAGATCCATAATGGGAAGCATGTTTTCAAGGTTGGTTTAAACGTTGGCATTGTATGGTTGTCTATTCACGGGTCACTTGTAGGTGTGATTTTCAATATGTTTTAGTCTAGTATGGTCAGAAATCTTTAAGTTAGACATAAAGACATTATTCTATACGAACAGAGCAAGAAATCCAATACATTGTAATTTCAGCTAGTGTTATTTCCTGTTTGGATCAGATAAGGCCTTGACGTAGATAAAGCGAGCAAAGGAAAAGGAAAGAATTTATTGATTTCATGAAAATAAGCAGTGAGTGAAAAGACCGAATATTTAGAATGTGTTGTATGAAGTCCATGTCTTTTTGCATTTATTTTTTTTTCAAAAGGACCAAGGTTATATTTATTTGATGGAAAATACAGTAAAAACATTAATATTGTGAAATATTATTACAGTTTAAATTAACTGTTTTTAATTTTAATATATTTTAAAATGTAATTTTTTCCTGTGATGACAAAGTTGAATTTTCAGCAGCATTTACTCCAGGCTTTAATGTCTAATGTCTAATGTTTAATGTCGTCTGTAAATTGGAATAAACAAGTAATCATCTATATTTATGTAAAATCTGAGTAAAAAATTCTTCAACTTTTCCAACAGTTCCCTGCTATTTACAACATTGTTCCACTGCGAAAGTGTTAAAGTGCAAATCATGTGAACCATTCTGTGGTTTACACCATGCACCAAGATTGTTGTTGCACATATGCTGCTACCTCAGAAGCAACACCGCAACCAATCCCAACCATTATTAGGGAAATGGCTTAATTGGATTAAATAATTAGCTGCAGAAGCACATGGTCTGTATGTTGTTCAGGGCTGTGGATCTGCTGTTGCAGGCTCAGCCAATTCTCCTGGCTCACAGGAAATACAGCTGACATGGTGTTTTATCATCCAGCTCTTTGGCCCAACACTCTCGCACACATCCATATACACACATGCAGAGACGCATACATTTGGAATTTGACAGTGTTCCATAGTCTAACTCTCTTTCTTTTGTGTTTCTTCCATAGTCAAACTCTCTACCGGGATCCTTTAACATGGCGCCATCCCATATGTTCGGAAACAGGCTGAATCCGAATTCCGCCATGGCTGCACTGATTGCCCAGTCCGAGGGCTCCCCGGCAGGTGAGACGCACAGACGAGCAACCATGCTGATCTTTAGCCGGTACCTCCCACTGGCGCAGGATTACTTTCTCAAAATCCATTCCTCCTGCTTCCTGCGCTCTCTTCTCCCACTTCTCCTCATCCTCCCATTCTTTCTCCGCTCCCCTGTGCATATGGAATGTGTGGTCAGCTGTATCCCCCCTCCTAACCTCCTCAGGTCGCAGAGAGAGGGAGAGGCAGAGAACAAAACTCCCCAGGACAGAAAGCTGAAAGTGTGCATACCTGTTAAATGAAGCATGCTACCACTCAAACATTTCATTAATCTGCACAATGACCGCAGTGATGACACAGAGGGGATTGCCCTGGGTTTAGGAGGCAGGCTTACCTTACACTCAGCCTCTCCCTCCTTCTTCCCTCCATCCCGGACCACTCGACACTTTCCCCGGACCTTGCCTAATCCCTGGGGGTCTCGGTCATGAGCGAATGGGCTTGCAGGACCCTGTCATGGGGGTTGGGGTGGAGACCAGTTGAAAGCAAGAGAGAGAGAGAGAGAGGAAAAAAGGGGAACACAGCCTTTGAGGAATAATGGATCAGTCATGGCCTCCTCCTCAAACAGAGGTCAGGGGGTCATTTGACTAACAATAGGAGGAAGAACATCCATCCTTAAAGAGACCACCGCTCGAGACTGGAAAACTTGCATGCTCTTAGCATAAGCCCAGCTCTTGTCTGGCATTAGTTTACAGCGCAGCACTTATAAAGTAGGGCATATATATTGAACAGGTTAACGATTTGGCTTATATGTCGACATTTTGCGATATATTCGTTCTGAAGTTTAGTAAGATTTAAAAAATAATAATTTAATACTTTTATTCAGCAAGAATGCATTAAATTGATCAAAAGTGACAGTAAAGGCATTTATAAATAGTTTAAAAATATATATATTTCAAATAAATGCTGTTCTTTTGAACTTTTTATTCATCAAAGAATCTTGAATTTTTTTTTTACAGTTTCCACCAAAATATCAGTTAGCACAGCTGTTTTCAACATTGGAAAATAATCAGAAATGTTTTTTAGTACCAAATCAGCATATTACAATGATTTCTGAAAGATCGTGTGACACTGAAGACTGGAGTAATGGCTGCAGAAAATTCAGCTTTGCCATTGCAGAAATAAATTACATTTTAAAATATATTCAGATATATTTTAGATTTTCAATTTTAATGATAATAATTTATAATATTACTGTTTTACTGTATTTTTGATCAAATAAATGCTGCCTTGGAGAGCATAAGATACTTTGAATGGTTGTCTGTGTATACACACGCAGACGTACGTATAACTTTATAGTTATAATATTAAAAAAATTATATAAATGTATTCTAAATGTAAATCAATTATAATGTCTTGTATAATGTATAATATAAATTAATGGTAATAATATATTCATTATTGTTTTTAGTGCATTTTTTAATAAATATTTTATCAACATTGAGTACATTTCTTACACCTCATCTAATTTGCTGTCATTTAATAAAAGTCAGGTATATATCAGCCATTGACCACCCTGTTGTCTAGATATTGGCATTGGTCAATTAAAAAAACCCTAGTCTAAAAATGTATAATGGGATCAGTGAGGCTGTGAAACAAGGCTTGTTTACTTTGGCAAAGTGCTTGTGATTTCCTCTCAACGCTGGTCACCTGTTGCTCCTCATAGGTTTCCACTGTGTCGTTCAGTCCCTGTTCATTCTGTCTTTTTTTTATTTTGTAAAGTGATACCCGATGCTTTCGGGTCCAGTCTGCACTGCACCCTCGGGGCTGATCCAGGGTCAGGCAAGGGGTCAGCACCATAATAAGTCAGACCAGACCTTGGGCGGTTCGTACTGATGTGCCCACACCCCCACTGGAGCCAGCCTGCGCTCGAGGTGGTAGTGGGCTGGAAAGTTAAAAAGAACAAGACGGGGTGAAAAAGGAAAAGAAGGGGGGAAGGAAGCAGGGAGGAAGAGAAAAATGGGATTGGCTAACTGTGACTGGAGGGGGGTGGGGAGAAAAAAAAAGAGGGAGTGGGTTGTGCTTGGCGAGGCGCATATGTGATTCATTACTTTCACTGCAGAAAATGAAAAGCAGTGTCTGGCATGGGGCCTGCAGGCAGGGTGATGGGAGCCTCCACAGGGAAGAAAGAGCTGGAGGGAGGGGGAGAGAGAGAGAGGTGACTCAGTGACACACTCAGTGGTGTCAGTGTGCAAGCTGAGCCGCCAGAGAGACCACTCTGCCGCCCCTAGATGGATTTCTGTGAGGAAGATCTGATGGCTACCAGGCTCACTTTGGATCGAGCTGCCCGTCCCTGCATTTCCCAGGCTCCTCTAACGCCCACATCTTCACACCGGCTCCTTATCGAATGCTCTCTGTTTACCTTTCAGATCAGGAGCTTGGAGACGGAGCTCTCGGCTTCTCCAGAAGAGGAAACTCGCCAAAGACAAACCTCTCCCCTCGGTAAGTCCTATTTACATTCCAGAGCTAGACTTCCCCCTCCTCCAGGCTCTGAGATTTCACTCGCCCTCCCTCCCTCCCCCACAGAACACACTCATTCACTCACTCCGTTTCCTCCCTTGTGCGCTCGCCTTCCAAACAGCAGGCATTTTGAGCACTCAGCTGTTGTCCATATCGCAGTTACAAACCGGCTTCAGAGTTCGACGTGGCGGCGATGTCTTCGAACGCAGAAAGAAACATTGCATTAGTTTTCTGTAACCTGAGATGTGGCCTTTTTTGCGCTGTGATTGAGGATATAAAACGGATTTATATGGAAGCATATATATACTGCACAAAAATTCCTCCTGGATATAATATGTTTGGTTGAAAAGGTATGTTGATTTGATTTTGATCGCTTTATTTAAGAAGTGGGTTTATTTGGTATACTTTCATTGCTGCTTTAGTATATTTAATGTATGGATATTAGTATTAATATAAAACATATTTTTTTCAAATGCTGTATTTGACTATTTAGATCAGTTTTGTCTTTTTTTTTTTTGTCAAAATGTGTGTGAGAAATGCATTTAGCACAATATCGCTATAAACTCAAGCTTGTCAGTTTGTGTGTTTGCATGGCAGCATTTTCAATACTGAAGGTACAAGAAACCGTTCACACTAAACGGGTTTTTGCATTCCAAAGTGTTGCTTTTCAATGTAAATGTGCTAGATGGATGTGTTCGTCTGCTGATATCATATTTTGCATCTTTTGCAGCGACTCGCACATGACACAGTGTTTTAAAATCAGGTTGCCTAATTTAAAAATGTCAACTCTTTAAAAAAAAAAAAAAAAATGCCTTTTTTTCCAATTCCATTGCCATGCGACTCAAGTTTTTAAATATTAAAAAACACATTCTTTGTGAATGGGCCTTAAAAGTGTGCCAAATGTCCATGAATCTCATTCAGAAGAGCTCTGCACCATCGTCAGATTAAATGCGAATATCTGTATGTGCTGTTTCTGTGATCCGCACTGGAGCAGCCATGCAGGGTGATATGGCTTCACAGTCCTGTGCTGGAGATTTATTGCCTTGTGGAGCAGATCTCAGCCCAGCCGTAATTACCTCAGAGATAGATTCACGTTCGCCCGAGAGCCCTGATGTAGAGCCCAGGGTTGGATGCATTCATAATAACACAGATCGCTGTCTGTCCAAACAAGAGCGTACTGAGATTTATGGTGTCAGAGAGGCAGGCCCTGGCTCTCTCACTTGGACGAGCTGTGAACTCTGTTTGGCTTTACTGAGCAGCGCGTCTGCCTCTGAAGGCAGGACGCCAGACCAGGAGTTCAACTGTGTTGTTAATATAGGCGCAGCCTAGTGTGTATTTATAAGTGAAAGCTGATTATTAATTAATTAAATTGTACTAATGTGAACAGATCTGACATGCATTTCCATTTTAAATTCATGACGATGAATTTTGATGAGCTTGTGTGTATGTACATCTCACTTGTTTTCTATAAATGACTTTAGGTCTCCGTTAAGTGGGCTTCATATCCGATATGACTCGTCAGGACCATTGGTTCCGGGGCTCGGATCTGGTTCGGATACGTTGCCCCCAGTGGCCACCAGCATCGACCAGCTGCTGGACCGGCAATGGAATGAAGGACAGCAGTTCCTCCTACAACAGGGCTCACAAGGAGATGGTGAGAGGCTTTCTTACACGCATATAATGATGCATGTTGCTTCCGTATACAGTATTAAACCACAACTCAAGCACAGAGCTGTTTGGTTGTGTGTTGTGTGGTTGTCATTGCGCTGGTCTTGCTGGGGATGTTGTTGAGCCATAGGATACTGTCAGTTCTAATGATGGCTGATGCAACTGTTGTTTCTGAACATAAGCCTGCACTAGTGTTAATTTTGGCACCTATGTTTTTAAATTAGTCCTGTCAAATGTCTTTTTTAGCTGCTCAACACAAGGCCACATGGGTGTTTTTTTATCAGCTAATGAAGGTTGTGCTGTTGTTGTTAGTGGTGCATGCTTAGGACAGTACTTGCTTGAGTATAAAACTTTGCCAAACTCATCCACGAAATAGAGTGCTGCAGCCCTGACGTCAAAACCCGGAAGTCTAATTTTTTTCCTCAGGAATTTCCTAGGGGTTTCTATAATGTTTTTTTTTTATTTATGAGTAAAACAATGTCTGTGGTAAATATAAAATGCTGATATTTGTATATTTTGCTCTACAGTGTAAATTACACATACCCATACTAAAAATGTGAATTTTGAAGCTGTTATGTTTAAGTAACTACATTATTTTGGATTGTGAGTGAATGCAAATTGTTATACAGCAAAATGTCCAAGTATCGTCAAGTTATACAGAACTTATTTTAATAATAAATTGAAAAAACCCAATGGGAAAATTTTAGGGGAATACATGGTGAATTAGACTTCCAGGTTTTGCACTCTGTGCGACAGACAAAAATAATACCTTAAATCATGTGGCTTGTTGAGAAGGCAAGTGCTTCTGTTTTTTGTTTTTTTTTAAGTGACATGAGACTTAGGATTTTCACCTGATAAAAGGTGACACAAAAAAAAAACAACACAAAATCGGTGAACTTGCATTAAACGAAAAAGCAGAGCCAAATTTAGAGACCAGAATGTCATAGAGACTTGAAAGTTGACACTTTTGACCTGGGTCAGTAAATAACCACGCAGAAGACCTTAGCAACCACATAGCAACATGCTAAAACCCACTCAGAACAACTTGGTAACCATATAGCAATGTCCTGGAAACCCACTTAACACTCCCTAGCATCATTGTGATGACTTTTAATTTGCATGTAAAATCAATTAATTCCTGTTATAACAATTTCATAGTCTAGCTGAGAGGGTTTACATATTTGCTAAAGAAGGTTGTAGAGATATCAAAAGGCATTTTAAATTAATTTCTCATTAGTATGCTAAAAGCCTTTATTAATTATGGTCATTGAAAACTGGCTACATTTAAATTCAGTCTAATTTGTCCATTTTAATCTCAGGGTGCAAGGTGCATAGTGATAAACCTGGGTCTGTTGCTTTCACTGAAAATATTTTATTTAAAGTAAAAATGATTACATCATATAAACCTTATTTTACTGCATGTCAATCAAATAATATGCCGGTTTGAAGCCTGTAATTACATCCATCCCCATAATGTGGGTAATTTATGCATTGGTTAATACCGCAGTAATTATGAGCTTCATTACCTGTATTTTGTCTGCGTGTAGTTTCGCGATCGGCTAAGTAGAGGTAGTAGCAAATCTTTCAGTAGCAGCAGGTCGGTTTGTAGTGTCACAATTGTGTGAATGAGCAGCAGCTGTTTCTGTTATGATGGGGGGGGGGGGGGGGGAGCCTGACAAACACACGGAGCATGAAGCGCTAGGGTGGTTGTGTTTCTGTTCACAACTGATATGAGACCAGTTGTGCGGTTTTGCTGACACTGCATCTGGTTTGCATTTCGCTCGGGGTTGCTGGCCCCCGATCAGTGCTGTGTGATCCTCCGAGAGTTTTTTCTGGAGGTCTTGAACCACATGTGTGCCAGTGTAGTTTTCGGGCTTGTGGTATTGGGTCATCTCGGTGGTTTTTAACCACTGCTATTTTGCTGTCAAATCTTGATGCGTATGTTTTGTGTGTGTGTGTGCGCGCTTTTATGTCCAGTTCTGGGAATGCTGAAGTCCCTGCACCAGCTGCAGGTGGAAAACCGGCGCCTGGAGGAACAAATCCGAACTCTCACCATGAAGAAAGAACGACTGCAGCTCTTGAGCGCTCAGCTCTCTGTGCCTTTCACCCCCGCGAGCACCACAGCCACCACTGCCTCCTCTCCTCTGTACCCCAGCAACACTCACGCAGGTTAGACACACACGCTACCTTCTGCCTCTCGTCTACTCGTACAGTTTTCACACACTCCATCTGGACCGTCACAGTCTAATCCCACCCCCCACCCCGATCCACATATTCACACATACACGCACACGAGCCCACCTCTCACCCCCCGTCAGACCCCCTTCCTCCCCCTCTGTTCTGCTCACAGAGCCTCCTCTCCCAGCTCAACTCTAGCTAATCTGGTCTCCGCATTCATGTCAAGTTGCAAAATCTCTCTCTCCTCCAGACATGCTGCACAGCAAGAGCATTCAGCTAGGCAGCAGTGTTTTAACAGAGTCCTCTCAACCCTTGCCCACTCAGGTAACTTCCTCTACCCCTGCTCTGCAGATGCCATCTGCTGGGACTGAGCACCTCTTTAGTTGAGTCAAGTGTTATATTATGTATATCTGTACATAGTTGAGTGTGTGGCAGTGATGTGATGGTGTAGTAAGTAATTGCATCATAATGACAGATTCATGGGATAATTGGTGGCTGTGTGATGTTTAAATGACTTGCACCATAAATCTGATCGGAATGATGCTATATCTATTTGGTTGGACAGGTACAGGAGGCACCTCTCTCATGTTGACCTCTCTTTTCTCTCACGCTCTCACGCTCTTGTGCTTTCTCCATTCTTTCTCTTTCTTTCAGCATCCCCTGTCTGGTGGCCATAGTAGTGGAAGTAGCACGTCCTCTCTCTCCACCCCTCCGTCTGCGGCCCACAGTCCCCCCCAGCAGCAGGTGAATGGAGTCGGCATGGCCGGGGTGGTCGTCCAGCCTGGCAATGCCAACTCGACCCTCCCTGCCATAGCCGGGGTGACGGGTCTGATGGGCACTCTGCAGGGGAACCACCTGGCCATGAGTGGCATGGTGGGCGCCCTAAACAGAGTCATCCAAACCTCCCCCAGCCTGGCCCAGAATAACAGCCCCCTGCCCCATCCCTCAGCAGCTACCAGCGCATCCCTGCCCATGTCCAACAGTCTCAGTAACAGGTACAAACTGGCACTAGCCGCCTTAGACTGATGAAAATGTGGATTTGTTGGTAAATCTCACGAAAACTTCAAGAAATTGGCCAGGTCATATTTTACCCCCATAGCAAAAGAGAAATGAAATGTTATGTTTTATATATGTTACAAAAAAATAAAAGAAAAATGTGATTGTGACTTTTTATCTCACAATTCAGACTTTTTTTTTTTCTCAGAATTGTGAGTTATATCTTGTGATTTTATAACACGCAATTGTGAGTTGAGTCAGAATTGTGAGATGTAAACTCAATTCTGAGAACATATCAGTCTTTTTCCCCCTTTAGAATTGGACTTTATTCTGAGAATTGAGAAAAATTCTCAGAATTGCAAGAAAAAAGTCAGAATTGCAAGATACAAACTCATATTTGCAAGAAGAAAGTCAGAATTGTGAGTTATCTCACAGTTCTTGACTTTATTTCTCACAATTGCGAGTTCATATCTCATAATTCTGACTTTATAACTCGAAAAAAGTCTATTGCGAGTTTGTATTACAGAATTTTAAGAAAAAAGTCAGAATTGCGAGATGTAAACTCGCAATTACCTTTTTTTATTCAGTGGCGGAAGCAGGCTTCCATATATAACATTTATTTGATCAGTGAAAACAGTATTGTTATTATGAAATATTATGAATGTTTATTATGAAAGAATATCATGAAAGATTTCTATTTTAATATAAAATGTAATTTATTCCTATGATGGTAAAGCAAAATTTTCAGCAGCCATTACTCCATTCATCAGTGTCACATGACTTACATTTCTTGTTAAAAACTGTTTTGCTGCTTAAATCTTACTGACTTTTTAAAAAAACTGAATATTTTATGCTGCTGTTTTAAATACTTTTTTTTTTTGACAAATATAAGAAAAATATATATTAAAGTGTATTGATATATTTCACTTTTTATTTAATTGATTATTTTAATTACATTTTTGGGTGAATTGTGACTTGGACATGTTCGTTAGATTCATCCATATTACTTGGCATTGTGTGCTGCATTCATATTTTCTTCATCTTTTCTGCTTCCCGATCTCTCTTTTGCTTGCGCTTTGGAATGCAGCAGCATGACCACTGTGAAAACCAGGTGAGGATTGGCTTGCTTTACCTTTTTCTTTCTCACTTGCTCATTTTGTTTCTCTGCCTGCGTGCCTTGCACCTGTACGTCTGCCTCTGAAACAGAATTGTGTACTTAAGATTGAACAGTTGATGTTTTCGAAGCAAGGTCCAGTTTAAACAGCCCTCCCTTTGTCAAAAAAAACACCATTAGCTATGATAACAGTCTCTTTCCTTTAGTATACAGGTTTTATTTTATATGTAATACTTTCGTGCGGCCATGACCAAGAAGTTTTTGAAATTATGAAAATTTTGTTTGCTTATGAATGTTTATGCATGTGTTTGCAGTGCGGCAAGGCATTTCAACGATCAGCACAGACAGATCCTCCTCCATCAGCACCAACTTCAGCAGCTTTTCAGCTCCCAGCAGGCCACACCGGTAAGAAGAGCACCAACACACTCCATTACACAGCCACAGAGTCTAGAGTTCGTTTGAGCATTCACAATTGTTCATGTGACTTAAAACATAAAGAGAGTCCACACAGCAGCTTATTTTAGCCATGATCCTTGTTATTAGTCAAGATGATTTTGTCTGAATGATATATATAATGTAACATGTAGGGCAGAATACATCTGAAATAATACATTCATTTCCAAGACCAAAAAATACAAAACACCTTATCTTTTGGTGATTCAGTGCCACAAAACTCTCATACGTCACAATGGCTTCTTCCTCAGAATTGTTTATTTCAGCATCCTGGCAGCTTGGAATTGCAATTTTGAGGAAATTCTTGCCACTATTCTGTGCAATATGCATCATACGGTCCGTGGGCAGTCTGTGGGTGTGCCGTCTTTGTCTAGACATCTCATCATACTCTTGTTTGTCTGTCTGTGTTTAGGAACAGCAACAGGCTCTGCTCTATCAGTTAATGCAACAGCAGCAGCAGCAGCAGAATGACATACAGCTACAGCAGCTGCCAATCAACAGCCTCCTGCCCGCCACGCAGCCAGCCATCACTACAAACCCCTTCCTCGCCATGCACAACGACAGCAACACTCCTAAAACTGGAGTTAGTACTGCAACTATCAAACAGACAAAAGTATTAATTTATAATATTCATGGATTCATTTCGAAGTATTTTTATTTGAAGTATGTAATTAATATATGAATGAATTAATATGAATATATAATTATGGTAATATATATAATTTTTTAGAATTATTATTATTGTAAATGTATTACATTAGTAAAATGATATAAGACATTTTTTCATATATATATTTATATGTGTGTGTGCATGTGCATATATATATATATGCATGTATTTACAGTATTATAAGAAAATAAAATTATACCATATTTATAATTGTATATCATATTAATATAGTAATATAAATGTCAAAATAAAATATATAATTATATTAATGTATTTTATTAATATTAATATTTTAATATTAATAGTATAATATGTGACCCTGGAGCACAAAAGCAGTCATAAGTAGCACAAGTATATTTGTAGCAATAGCCAACAATACATTGTATGGGTCAAAATTATCGATTTTTATTTTATGCCAAAAATCATAAGGATATTAAGTAAAGATCATGTTCCATGAAGATATTTTTTAAATTTCCTACCGTAAATATATCAAAGCTTAATTTTTGATTAGTAATATGCATTGCTAAAGATTTAATTTGGACAACTTTAAAGGTGATTTTCTCAATATTTCCATTTTATTTTTTTTGCACCTTCAGATTCCAGATTTCCAAATAGCTATATCTCGGCCAAATATTGTCCTATCCTAACAAACCATACATCAATGGAAAGCTTATTTATTCAGCTTTATTTATAAATAATTTTAAAAAAATGGACCCTTGTGACTGGTTTTGTGGTCCAGGGACACACATAATATGAAGTATAATTGCATTATTATAATTATAAATACTTATATTGTTTTTATTGTATTTACAATAATTATAATTTTGTATTATAATTAAGTATTAATTAATAATATTGTATTATTGTATATTTTTTATGTTGTTAAAATAGGTTTCTTGTAAAAATGTATGTATATGTATAAATATATTTATTATAAAATGTATTTATTGTAAAAGTTATTTTATTTCTATATTTTATTTAATAGATTGAGGATCACTTATTGAAATTGTGCTTCTGTTTTATTCAGAGACTGGGGGAGAAGGCTGTGTCTGTGACAGGACAGGAAAAGACCTGATGTCGAAAACAACGTTTTGGAGGAGTTCTGTCTTATGGATCCCTCTCATCTGCCCACCCCAAGAGGCTTGCAATCTGAGCAGCAAGACCAGAACATTCACCCACCGCACGAAACCCTCACCAGCACCAGCCTTCATATGTACACACGCTTGCCAGTTTGATGCCCATCTGGCAAACAACATGCTGCACTGAGTTTGAGTAAATCACTTGCTGTAAACGTACTGGATCCCATGGGGGCCAAAAGACAGGCTCACACACATATGTACACACACACACACACGATCTCTCTCACCCTGTCAGTGTGCTGAAAATGACACGCTGGTGCGAGTCGCTGTGGTCAGAAAGTGTAGACCGATGGAGATGCCTCTGGAAAAGTATCTGCTCACCGCTGTTACCCCTTTAACAAGAAACACGTAACGATAATCTCAATTAAAAACCTGTCGTTTTTGTCTGTGTATTTAAAGGCGTCAAATATTTCAAAGCTGAAGCGATCAGACATTTGTGCACCATAAAGGCCTTCTCTGCATCCTGATCTTTAGCCTCCCCTGTGAGGAGGCGGCCCAAAAGTCCACGAACTGTCTCACTGACCCTGCTGCACTCTTTGAAGAGCAACTACCTCTCAAGCCAGGACACACAGACGAGGCCCTGAACCCAAGTGCCTGGCCCCGATCTCCATGCTCTCAGCGAGGGGCTGCGCGCTGGAGACGCTGCCAGTCTCTCTCCTTTCCCTTTTTATTTTTTCCTCCAGTTGATCCATTTTTTTGTGAAATGATTTGATATCAATCGGCGTCGCTCAGGCAATACCAGTCCAGAGAGTCCCAGAGATCTCTGCCTGTACAGTGACTACACTGAAAAAAACTGATTTCGAATGTTTGCATTGATCATTTTCGAAGCCAATTTTCTATTATTCCTTTTTTATTTATTTGCATTCGTTGCATGTTGGGCGCAAGGTAATATATTCTAACGCTCAACTGGCAAAATGTTTTTTATACTACTGTACAAAATTCTCAGCTCTTTTGAGTCTTGTAAACATTTGGATGAACATGTCTGGTGTTTGAAGTTATAAAAAAAGAAAAAAAAAAGCCTACTTGATGATTTTGTGGTCTTGTAAATACACCTGTTTTTCCCCTTTTCCTTTTGTAAATCTACAGATGCATATTGGATTAAGAATAAGCTGTCAGAATAAATAAGATTTAGTTTAGCACACTTTTACCTCTTTTCTGTTGTAAATACATATTTGTGATTCACTTAGTGGTGTGAAGGACTGTTTCAAAGCACTGTCGGTGTGTTCAGATCTTTTTCTACAGGCTTTCCACAAGACTGGTGACTGGATAAAGTGTATTAATTTATTTTTGTATGTGCAGGGACTTTTTTTTTTGCACCGTTTTATTGATGTGGTTTTATACGTTATAGATGTGGTATGTCCACGTTCTCATGTATCTGTACAGAAATTATGCAAAATCTCTAAAGTTTGTATTTAAAACATCAAAAGTGAAACCACACGAGTCCTGCTTCATATTAAGAAATTCTGAACACAGACTGTAGTGTTGCGTTTTTTTTCAGTGATAAATTAAAATCTGTTTATTACAATTCTTGCATCTTGCAGTGCCTTTTTATTTAACAGTCTGTTTTGGCATAGCAAAACAGATGTATTTTTCTTTTTCTTTTTTTTTACTGAGTTTCAGTATGCTTTTAAATCCTTGCAAAGAAGTGCTACCAAATTATGCTAGAATAGACTTGCAAACTACTTTTCATTAAAAGTATGACTCATTGGTAATACAGACTCATGACAAGTATTCCAATTACAGAGCTCTCCAGTTAAAATGAGAAGACATTACATTAAAGTGCTTCTAGATTCTAATTAAAATAAATATCTTTACATAATTTAAAGCGATAGTTCACCCAAAAATGAAAATTCTATCATTATTTACGCCTCCTCATATCGTTCCAAACCTGTCTGCATTTCTTTCTTTTGCTGAACACAAAAAGATGATATTTTGAAGAATGTTGATGATAACCAACTAGTTTCAGATGCCATTGACTTCCATTGTATTTTTTGTCTATACAATGGAAGTCAATGGGGGAAAAAATTATTAGTTACCAACGTTCTTCAAGATATCTTCATTTGTGCTCAACATAAGAAAGAAAGACATACAGATTTGAAACAACATGAGGTTGTGTAAATTACAGAATTTAATTTTTTTTGGTGAACTATCCCTTTTAACACTTAGCCCTTATCTACAATGGACCCTTTTCATATTTCCAGGGTTTCTCAGATGCGGAAGTCATCACAGTTGGGTCATTTTGTTTAGCTGTGAACGGAAACTACAAATTTGTATTTTTTTATTTAATTAGTGTTCCCATTTGCACCAATAATAAAAGAAAAATACACAATAGTCTTTCTGTGACTTTCCAAAGGAGGGAAAAATACAAAGAGATTGATTACATTGGTAAAAAGAGAGAAAGATGACAAAAACTTTGTCATCAATCCCTCGGTTGTTGTATAAGAAATACTCACACAGCAGCGCTAACTAGTTTTCTGTTATGAATGCAAAACACAAAGTATAGAGTTATAAATGTACATTATTAAAAAAAAAAAACTTTGGTAGATTTACAATATTAAAAATGCACCACCACAGTCAGTGAAAAAGGTCCACAGAATGAAAATCACACAGCTCTGATGCCGAACTAAAACCATAAGAAAGTAACACAGAAATTGAATGAAATAGATGTCAGTCATATCCATTTATCTTAAACTCTTTGCCTTTATCAAAATTACACTACTTGTGCTGGAAATATCAGGTTCAATGCATCAGCCACATGCATATTTCTTCCATTATGAGCCAGGAAACAGACACTAAACTCCGCCATCCCTTTCCCCCCCATATTTCTGCAGTCTGTCCTTGTGTTTGCTATTTGGTGAGTGGAACCCATTTCTCAGCATGACCCCCAGGGACCTGCCCACTGTCCCTGCCCAGCTCTGAGCGCTCCTGCTGTGGGAACAGCAGGCCCCTCTCTCCCCTCAGCTTCATCAAGCTGTCCACACTACTGACCACCCACTGACCCCTGACCCCTCCACCCCAGCCTGATACAGCTCAAAGCGGCACGCACACAATGGGGCCAGTGACAGCATTCACGCATCTGAAAAATCTTTGCTTTATTTTAATCAGATGAAAGCATTCTTGGAAATTTGTAAAAAATCACATTTTGTGGGGCGCAGTCTCGCTTTTCCCATGATTAAATAAGGAACTCTTTTACGACCTAAACGTGAGTTCTTAAATAAGCCTCTAATAATATTTTTATTCCATTCGTACGGCAGTGATAAATCAAATATTTAGTTATTTAGTCCTTTCCCACCCAGTTAGTGATGGCTTAGTGTTAATGCCCGCTCAGAGAACAGATGGGGTAATAGAGAGCCGCAGAAGCCCGTGTGTCGCTCACTCTTTCTCTACCAGGTGCACTGGAACACAGTGTAAAAAAACACTGAAGATCCTTAGGGACGATTCATTTTCACCCCTGCTGCCTGTAAGGAATGGATTCAGCTTACAGGTAGGTAACAAAAGCTGCTAACTGACAGAGCTGGAAGGGAGGTGACTGATTTATGGTTCTTTTCGTTCTCATTCTCGCTACAACTGTAACCCTGAATCGCCGTGTCAAACTGAAATTTAGGAATATTATTAGACCACAATGAAAAGGTGTGTTTTGAGCTCCGGCCTGCTAATTAATTATGTCATTAAAGACGCCGTGTCTTTAAAAGATGTGGGGGCGGCAAAGACAGGCTTTATGATGTTCACGTTTAATTTACTGATAATTACTCATGAGATGAGACAAATATTTGAGGTGAATTACTGGAGCAGACGTTTGTAAACAGAAATCTTACCCTGCTTTACTTCAGTTCACTGCTGTTTCTTCTTTATTTGAATGTTTCCAATGCATCCCCTTCCTGTACTCATCTGTACCTAAATGTTAGTTATTTAATAATATTATTTGTTGTTGTTATTAATAATTATTTTATATAATGTATGACATGTATTTTTTGATTGTTACTCAAAAATATGTGTAACTGCACAATTATTATTACCATTGTCATTCTTATACGAGTCATTTTATTTCAATGTATACGCATAGGATTAAGTGACTCTACAACATTTATGAATTTGTATCCTGCTCATGCATTACCTGTCCAGTTAAATGATCATTTGTCTTATTCATTTGTCCCTCAAATGTTCTGTTGTTCTGTCATAGGTTGTTTTATATGTTATATTTATTATATTTCTTTTTTATATATTAAATTTTATTGGAATCATCTATTTTTTCCTTATTGTTGTCGTTGTTCTGTGAAAAAGCAAAAAACACTAAAATAAATATTATATGTATATTTGTGTGCGTGTGTGTGTGCGTGCGTGCGTGCGTGCGTGTGCGTGTGTGT